TATTTCTTGCTGCAATGCTTACACACACCAGGGCCCCAGTGAGAGAACCCCAGGGGGCCCCCTGCTGCTGTTGGCAGCGGGGCCCACAGCAGCAGCAGCAGCAGCAGCAGCAGCAACAGCAGCAGCAGCAGCAGCAGCAGCAGACAAGCGTCTGTTGGATGCAAAGGAGACAATAACCTAAAAACCAATAAAGTTATATTGTATTTTAGTTTTGTTTTATTTGTTTATTATTATTACTATTATTATTTCTGCTGCTGCTGTTGCTGCTGCTGCTGCTGCTGCTGCTGCTGCTGCCGTGCAGTGGACTCGTGGTAGAGCGAGCAGCAGCAGCAGCAGCAGCAACAGCAGCAACAGCAACAGCAGCAGCAGCAACAGCAGCAACACACATGCAGTTGCTGTTATATAGTTTTGTTATTAAGAGACAGCAAATAAAAGGAGACAAAAAAAGAGACAAAAAGAGACAAAAAAGAGACAGAAAAAGAGACAGAAAAGGAGACAGATAAGGAGACAGATAAGAAACAGAGAACAGAGAGAAAGAAGGAGACAGAAAAGGAGACAGAAAAGGAGACAAAAAGGAGACAGAAAAAGAGACAGAGAGTAGATATAAAGAATAGAGACAAAGAGAAGGAGACAGAAAAGGAGACAGAGATAAAGACAAAGAAGGAGACAGATAAGGAGACAGTAATAGAGGCAAATAATAAAGACACAGAATAGAGACAAAGAAGGAGACAGATAAGGAGACAAAAAGGAGACAGTAATAGAGACAAAAAGGAGACAGAAAGGAGACAGAGAATAGAGACAAAGAAGGAGACAGAGAAGGAGACAAAAATGAGACAGAAAAGGAGACAGAGAGTAGAGATAAATAATAGAGACAAAGAATAGAGACAAAGAAGGAGACAGTAATAGAAACAAGGAGGAGACAGAAAATGAGACAAAAAGGAGACAAAAAAGGAGACAAAAGGGAGACAGAAAAGGAGACAAAAAGGAGACAGAGATAAAGACAAAGGAGACAGCAATAGAGACATATAATAGAGACAAAGAATAGAGACAAAAAAGGAGACAGAAAAGGAGACAAAAAGGAGACAGAAAAGGAGACAGAGATAAAGACAAAAGAGACAGAAAAGGAGACAGAGAATAGAGACAAAGAATAGAGGCAAAGAAGCAGACAGAAAAGGAGACAAAAAGGAGACAAAAAGGAGACAAAAAGAGACAAAAAGGAGACAAAAAGGAGACAAAAAGGAGACAGAGAGAAAAAGAAACAAAAAGGAGACAGGAGACAACAAAGGCAGCAAAAGGAGATGAAAACAACAAAAGGACACAGACAAAACAAAAAAAAAAAGTAAAAAAAAAACAAAAAAAGTAAACAAAGACAAACACAAACAAAGACAGAGACAGGGAGACAGAGAAGGAGACAGAAAAAAAAATAAACACGAAAGGAAAATAAAACAAACACAAACCCTAAACCCTAAACCCTAAACCCTAAACATCTGTCTCCACCCAGAAAGAAAGATGCTGCACCGAGCTAAACCCTAAACCCTAAACCCTAAACCCTAAACCCTAAACCCTAAAGCAGCGAATCAACACTAGGGTTTTAGATAAGGGTTTGCCTACAGGGAGAGAGCTGTAAAACCATCATCTAGGGTTTAGGGTTTAGGGTTTGTGGTGGTTGCAGAGAAGGGTTTGTCTCCTTTTATACTCTACTAGCAGCAGCACTAACAGCAGCAGCAGCAGTAGCAGCAGCAATAGCAGCAGCAGCAGCAATAGCAGCAGCAGCAGCACTAGCAGCAGCAGCAATAGCACTAGCAGCAACAGCTGTAGCAGTAGTATCAGCGGCAGCCCTGCCAGCAGCAGCAGCAGCAGCAGCAGCAGCAGCAGCAGCAGCACTAGCAGCACCAGCAGCAGCACTACCAGCACCAGCAGCAGCAGCAGCAGCACAAGCAGCAGCAGCAGCAGCAGCAGCAGCAGCAACAGAAGAATTTAGCGTCAAGTGTACGAAGCAGAAATTCTCCTGTTGGTGGACCCCCAAAACAAAACAAACAAATTCACTCTGCTGCAGCAATTGCTGCTGCTGCTGCTGCGCTGCTGCTGCTGCAGCCATTGCTGCAGCTGCGGCTGCAGCAGCTCCTGCTGCTGCTGAGCTGATAAACATGCTGCTCGAGTTGCTGCTGCTGTTGCCGTATGAGCTGTTGCTGCTGCTGCTGCTGCTGCTGCTGCAGCTCATACACAGGGAGGAGTTGTTAATGCTGCAGCGCACACATTAAAAAAGATGCTGCTGCTGCAGCAGCTGCTGCTGCAGCTGCACCTGCTGCTGCTGCTCCTGCAGCAGCAGCAGCAGCAGTTGCTGCTCCTGCAGCTGCACGTGCCGCTGCTGCTCCTGCAGCAGCAGCAGCAGCGGCAGGTGCAGCTCCTGCAGCAGGAGCAGCAGAAGTTGCTGCTGCTGTAGCAGCAGCAGCAGCAAGTGCTGCTGCTGCTGCTGCTGCTGCTGCTGCAGCTCATAAGAAATCCTCTTCCTCCACCTCTGGGATTAGCAGCTCCGACGTGCGGCCTGCAGCAGCAAGAGAGTCAGTGAAGCGGGGCAAGGGGGCTTGCTGCCGCTTGTCTGCTGCTGCTGCTGCTGCTGCTGCTGCTGCTGCTGTAGGCATTTGCTGCTGGTGCTGCAGCTGCGACGGATGCCCCGGGGTGTGCATGCCAGCAGCAGCACCAGCAGCAGCTGAAGCAACAGCAGCAGCAACACGGTGACGGTTTGCTTCTTCTGCTGCGCGGTGCTGCTGCAGATGCTGCTGCTGCAGTGCATGCATACTGGCACTCGTTCCCCTGAGGAGGTGCTGCTGCAGCTGATGCAGTTGTTCTTGCTGCTGCTGCTGCTGCTGCAGCAGCTCCTGCTGCGTCGGTGCTGCTCCCTGCTGCCTGAGTAGCTGCTCATGGTAGCGAGAAGCAGCACCATGCTGCTGCATAAACATATCTTGCTGCTGCTGCAGCAGCGCAGCACGCTTCTTGTCTTCTGCTTCTAATACTATAGCAGCAACAGCAGCAGCAGCAGCAGCTTTCTTTCTGTTTCTGTTCTTTGTTGAAACCCCCCCGCCCTTTCTTTTGCTGTCTCCCGAGCCTCCTGCTGATGCAGCACCAGGTGTACCCGCAGCAGCA